GGAGCCGGGGAGAGGGGTCCAGGAGCTGACAGCCTATTTTTCCTCCCAGCCCTCCGACCAGCTTCATTAAAGATGTCCGCAGCATCACCAAGTGGGAAAAATTGTTTTACTGAACGTTGAAGGGGAAATGGGGTAATCAACTTCACTACCCGGGCCCTGTGATTTCAGAGGGTGGGGTGTGTGTGTGTGTGTGTGTGTGAGAGAGAGAGAGAGAGAGAGAGAGAGAGAGAGAGAGAGAGATTCTTTTATGCAGGAGGTTTATGTTTATTCCAAACCCAGCAGTGGAGCGGGAGTGGGGGTGGGGAATGGCCTCTCCAACCCGTGGCAAATGAGCAGCTTTTATGGCGAAGAATGGCCGTGGGAGTTTCATTTGGGCAGGCGAGGTCCCCTCAAAGGCAGGGCCCTCTTTTCAAGCGGCCAGGCGGGCGGCCAGAGGGTTCGCCTTGTGCCTGAGCCTCTCTCCGCCAGGCCTTCTCCCCTACCTGCAGGCCCTGCCCGCACCCCCTCCTAGACTGAGCCCAGGTCCCAGGAGAGAGGGAAACCGGGTCCTGAGTGGGGACACCCCCACCCCCCCGCAGTGAGGGAGGGGGACGGGACGGGGTGCAGAGAGGCCCAGACCTAGGCCCTCAGGGCTTCGGGATGGGGACGGCGGTGGTGCAGGCCCCGCATCAGGTCTGAGGCTCCTGCGTGGCCGCCTTGGCCAACCCGCAGCCCACCAGACGCTGGCCCTGTGCTCAGGGAGCTGCCTGGGCCTCGGGTTCCTGGGCTGGAAACGGCGGGGCTCACACCTCCCGCGGCTGTGCAGTCCCTACATGCGGCAGAGAGAACGGGAGAACTGCTAGCTCCACACCTCAGGGCTCAGAACAGGGTCTCCCCTCCTTCCTTCCCTTTGCGGAAAGCAGAGCTGTTTCTGGGAAGCTGTGGATGAAGCCGGGAGAACGCGAGGGTGAGGGCCTGTGTGCTGGCCTCCGGCAGCCCCTGCAAGGAGGTCCAGGGCTGGGCTGCGGGGTTCTGGGGAGTCAGGGGCCTTCTGCCCGAAGGTTGCTGGTCTGGTCTCTGACAGCATAACGGGCCCTCCGTAGCAGGGACCCCAGGACGGCCGAACCAGCTCCCTGGGAGGCTCAGAGAAACCCAGAGCCAGGCAAGGTCCCCCGCAACCTGGCTCAGCCCTCAGCTCAGCGACCCCCTCCATCAGGAGGTGCTGGGTGCTTGTGTCCGAGCCTGAGCCTTGGGGATGTGGGGCTTCTGTTGTAATGCGCTGTCGCCCAGGCGTCTCCCATCCACCCCACAGGCCCAGCAGCAGGAAACCACGGTTCTCCCAGCAGCACTGGGGCTAAGGAACCCCCCTCCCAGGCAGCCCGGTCTCCCGACTCCCTCCTGGGCTCGGATCCCTGAGGCTGCGGGGTCCCAGTGCCGGGAAGGGAAGCTGGGGAGACGGGCTAACTGGGGACCCAGGGAGGCGGCTGATGGCGGACCCTGAAGGGCTTTGGGCTTTGGCAAGCGCATCCCTTAAGCGAGGAAGGCGGACTGGGGCCGGGGTTGGGAGTTGGGGCTGGGGAGGCCCGCCAGAGGGCAAGGTGGCACAGTTGGGAAGGTTTGGACACTTCCGTGGGCTCCGCCAGGAACGGAGCAGGAGTGGAGCCGGGTTCGGGCCGGGTTTGGGCACCTGGTGCGGGGCTGTGAGGCCTGAGGCTCGAGGCCATCCGCAAGAAAATGCGGGCCAAAGCGCCGGTCCCCTAGCGCCAGGTGCGGGCCTCCCACCTTCTGGGTTCCCAGGAGCCTCTCCTCAGACCCGGGGAGGTGAGGCACCGAAGCCTCCTCACTCACTGGTGCATGGGAAAGTGGCCTTGAAGGTGCCCCTCAGCCCCCTGCCCACTAGCCACTTTCTGGATCCAGCGGAGGCTGCAAAGCGAAGGGGACTCCAATGAACCAGTCCCCCTCAAACCACCGGAGAGAGGATTAGTCGGGGACTGTCGGGGAAGAGGCTGGAATGGGGAAGGGGACCTCTGTGAGACCCTCCACAGAGCACCAGTCACCACCCCCATTTGCCAGGAGCCATGGGCTCTTCCCTCAGAGCCCATTTGCTGCTGTTTTGATAGATGGTAAATTTCAAGTTCAAGATTTCCCCTTGACCATCTAGAGCGCTCCCATGCTGGCCGCCCCTCACCCTGCTCCTTTCCCCCAAGCTCATCTTTCACTGGAGTTTCCAAAATGCCACTCTTTTCCAAGAGTAACCCAAGCTGCAGGGGAAATATTTCAAAGGATTTTGCTGTTTTCAATGGACCGCCCCGCCCCCCCATGAATCTGGCCAAAACTCTTGATTGATTCGCATTAAAATAATAAAAATCAGCAGCCTTCCTCCCCCCATCTGGGTGGCATTTTTTGAGCAAAGCCCAAGGAAGAACCGAGAGAGAGTGCCTCTTGAAATAATTACATTGGGACAAACTTTACTGCAATAAAACAAATGTTTAATTTAATTCGGAATAAGTGATAAGAAATAACTCTTCAATAAAATATATAAAATTATACAAGACACCCTTTCAAAGGGATGAAGTATACTGGTTGGGGGAAGGTGGGGCAGGGAGATGGATGGGAAGATGAAATACCAGGGAGCTAAGTGGGCCGTGAGACACCCGGGTTCTTAGCAAGTCAAAACATGGCTTCACCCTCGGCCCCCAACATGTTAAAAAAGGATATAAATTTTCCTAATACGTTTAGCACATACAATAGGTACACACACAGAGAAAGCAGGATTTTTCTTTCTTTCTGGATCTACTCATTGTCCAAGAATATGTAGCATATAGGTAATGGTTACAAGACGTTTATTTAAGCAGAGAATTAACTACACCCCTCCCTCCCCCATCACTTTTGCAAACCTGTGAGGACTGACCTGGAGCATTTCACAGAAACCATCAATTCCTCTGGACAATGATCTGAAATGGAGTTAAGCAACAGCCTGGAGGGAAGTACTTCCATGTCCCACTTTACCCCGAGGCTGGCTCAGTCTTCTCAGCCCCCTTTTATTGATCTTACAAAAAAAAGTAAACGTTTAACTGGGTAACAATGTAGCAACGTGCAGGGGGGCAAACAGGGCCCAATATGTAGTCTCTAATTAGTGAGTGCATGGAAGACTGTACCGTGGCCTGTGCCTGTCACTCGAGGAACCTCTCCCTATCCATGGCCTATGCACTTTGTGTCTAATTCTAATATCTGTTTTCCTTAAGCAAAAGCCAATCATCCCACCAAAATCACTATATTTCAGCAATTTTAGAAAACAATTTGTCTCCCCCTCTAAGAAGAAAAAAAAAAACCCACACAAATGAACGTCAGCAGTCTGTTAGGGTGATATATATAAAAAAGTATATATATAAATTTCGCCTTTCAAAATAACTTGGATTTTGACATCTGCTGTATAAAAATGCGTTCTGTTTCGTGATATATATTTATATATAAAAACCATCAGAGCCGATCTTTGTGAGGAGAAAGGGGTGTCTGGGAAATGACACCAAGAACAGGAGCTTGGGGTCTCCAGCCCCCAGGACGAAGGAGGCGGCGGCTGCTAGCCTGGCTGCTCGGGGTGGTGCGTGTGAGGTGGGCAGAGCCGGGAGCTTCCTGGCGAGGGCAGGGGGGGGGGGCATGGAACACGCCTCGTCCCGTCCCCCTGGAATGTCCCGGAGTCCGCGGCGCAGTCGTCCTTAGGAGAGATGGTACATGCCATACCCCACCGGCGTGGCGTAGAGTCCCACGGGCGGGATGGGGAGCACAGGTCTATGGAAAGGGTAGGACGCTCCGTAGAGGGAGGCTGCCTGCAGCGGCGAGTTGATGGGGAAAGGGAGGCTGAAGCCGGAGGGCAGCATGGGCTTCGCGGCCATTTTCAGCTTTTCCAGTTCGGCCTCCTGCAGTCTTTTCGCCTTGGCCCTCCGGTTCTGGAACCAGATTTTGACCTGGGTCTCTGTGAGGTTCAGCGAGCTGGAGAACTCGGCGCGCTCGGCGATGGAGAGGTACTGCTTCTGCCGGAACTTGCGCTCCAGCGCCAGGAGCTGGGACGTGGTGAAGGGCGTGCGCGGCTTCCGGTTGGTCTTGTGCTTGCGCAGGGTGCAGGTGGTGGGGCTCAGGTGTCCTGGGGGCAGAGAGGAGCGGTTAGCAAGGCCAGGGCCCCCTCTTCATCTTTCAGACACCTTTGTCAGGGCCAGGTGTGGGTGGGGGGAGTAGGATGGAGGACCATATTTAGATAAATTACTTCATTTTTAAAAATTGATATTTAAATAGATAAATTACTTCATCTTTAAAAACTGAGGCTTTTGCTAAAACGTTTGGGAATTTAATGGTGTAACAGAACTTTATGGGAAATAAACAGCCTTAGAGGAATGGAAATAGAACTCCTAAGAACAGACCTCTCCTAAGTCAAGGGAGTCAAGTGGTTGGTTCCTAAGATCAAAACCCCATCTCTTCTGAGCTTAATTTCTCCTCGTTAAAATGGGGGGGGGGGTAGTTCAGTTGGTTAGAGCATCTTCCTGAAAAGCCAAGGTTTGGGTCGGACCCCTGGTCAGGGCACATACAAGAAGTAACCAATGAATGCACAAATAAGTGGAACAACACATCAATGTTTCTCTTCCTCCCTCCCTCTTCTTCTCTTGCTCTAAAACCAGAAATCAATAATATGGGGGGATGGATTCCGAATAGTCCTCACTTCCCATGGATGCTGACAAAATCGCATATGGGAAAGAAAAGGAGAAGGGTCTTCTAAAGGGGGCTGGCTCCTTCTCTGCCCCGGACGCGGACGCGTTGGGCTGTATCCTCACACTGGCGAAGGGTAACTCTGCAGACAGGGTCTGTGGTAAATTAACAGCATCTTGCGAGGGGGGAGCAGCCCCACGCAGTAAACCGCCACAGCTGTCATTCCGTCCCGTCTACAGACGATAAAACTTGAACATCACTTTACAGATGTGGGCTGAGCTTTTTGGCGGGGTGCTTCTGGGATATAAACTGTACCACGAAGGAGAGAGAAATTAGCTCGCCCCATAAACGTAAATGTCAGGGGAAATCAGGCCGCCCCGCCTGGGGATGGAGAGCATGTGATGACATCTTAGTCATCCGGCCCATTATGCCATGGTGTGGAGCCAACGTGTAAATGCTTCGTTTGTCGCCAGGGTTCGGAGAGAGGCAATAACAAGCCAAATGAAGGTACGCCAGCAGCATCAGACTCCGTGCCTCCCTGGACTCGATGACAAGCCACGGGACTGGCCTGGCCCC